TCAGCCTGACCAGTTGAAGGACATTCCTGAGGAAGGTCTTGACTGTGGTCCTTTTGGTAATTGACCTTTTCTTTTCACCCATATGTTTAGTTTATCCTTTTCCGAGGCTGACCATTTCCTTTGTTTCCAGTGGAACTACAAGATTCAGGTGAAGAGATGGACAGCGAACTCCTGCTCAGTCGCTTCACTGCAGGGAGGAAGAGGAAGAGAGAGACGAAGGGCAAGGGAAACGCTCTTCGTCCCACCACGGGGAGGGTCCTTCCCAGGAGCCGGCTGTAATCGTGGTGGAGGACCAGGATGATGCTACCCTGGAAACGGGTACAGTGACTGGTCATTCCCCCCCCCCCACTCTGTGAGGCCAGATGGCGACCTCGCTGGGTCCTCACTGGGTGTCGCCTCGGAGCGACCTCCTTCGCCCCCCGCTGTGACCTACGAGGTGGCGACCAGAGGTCGTTCGACGAGGCTTGGCATCCCTCCTCTGCCCCAGAACTTAGGGGACGTGCAACTGGAGACCCTGATCACCCTGCCCGCTGAGGACCAAGCTCGCATCTCGGCCGGTTCTGAGGACGACCTTGATAACATGGTCCTTTTAAGGCTAAGCCAGGTACCGTTGCTGATCTTACCTGTACTCCTTTTCCTCTTTTTTTTACGCTCTTGACCCCCATGCCTTAATGCAGGCCACGCTGGGGATGATCGAGGTGGTTGGTAGGAGACGGGGTCGCCAGGCCGCCGCGGACGAGGCGATGAAAGCAGCCGAGTCCACGCAGAAGGAGCTGCAGGAAGAGGTCGCTCGACTCACAAGGGAGTTGGAGGAGAAATAGAATCGCTGCACGGCGCTTGCTGTGGAGAAAACTTCCGAGGAGAACCGCTGTGCCGCCCTTGAAGCAGACAAGGCCTCCTTGTCCCTGGAGATAGAATCTGTTTCTGCCCGCGTGCTCGAACTGGAGGGGGAGAAAACTGATCTGATCCAGCAGTTGGAAGGGGAGAGGAGCGACCGGGTCCGTCATGCAGAGGAAGCGGTAGAATCCTTCAAGTCATCTTCCGACTTCACGGTGGTCGCGATGGAGCGGATGGAAGAGCTAACGGCTGCTTGGCTCGAAACTGAACCTGGGGCTCAATGGATGGTCAAGGAGGGCACCAAGTCCTTCAATTGTGGACTCTTCCGGGCCCAGCAGGTCTTCCGTGACAGACTGGCTCAGCTCCCCAAAGGATTCTCTCTCCCCGACCTCGGCTTTCCCCCTCCTTGCCGCTCCCTGGCCGAGTTCGACCCCCGCCCTTATTTGGACGAAGGGAGCTCAAGCGCGTCTGAAGAGGAGGAAGAAGGAGGAGAAGAAGACGGCCCAGGCGATCAAAATCCGGGGGCTAGCTTAGCCACATCCAAGGCGGGTGACAACCCTAGCTCGAGCGTTTAACTTTCCCCGTTGTTCCCCCAGATTTTTGTAAACACTTGTTGTTGTTATGTGTTTTTTT